TTTCGAGGGATGGTATCAAGGGAGTGATCTGAACACTGCTCACCTCCCTGTTCTGATCTTTCCCTAAATGAATGTGGATTCTAGAGGGGTCCAGTCTGCATGTGACAGGGACAAATGTATTACAAGCAGGGCTTTAGAAACATGCATTGCTTTCATTGAACTAGAACTGGCCTCCAGCCTGAGCTGTCTAGGGCGAGGTCCCACGGGGGTGGAAGCCCTGACTGTGGCTCACAGAGCGATGAGACTGACGGGAAGAAGCACAGATGCTACATGGAGAGGCCAAGATGCCGACCGCTGAGAAACTGAAGAGGCGGGAGGCTGGTTTGGTGTGGAGTTTCTGGAGCTGCCGGGAAGGAGCTCGTTAACAGATAAACCGGGAAAGCCTTGGAACCTACTTGGAGAAGGTGGAGAAGTTGGGGCTTTGCTCAAGCAGACATTAAGAGTCGGATGGAGCTGGGCAGAATCTAGGAAGGAGAAAATCCATTGCCTTGGGGTTCAGGTGAAAAATCACAGTTGCAAACACTTACAAAGCACTTATTCTGTGCCAGGCACTGTTCTGAGCATTAATCCATTAAGAGAGAACATTTCAAATTTAGAACCCAGGAGTGGGCACCAGACAGGCCAGTGAGGACCAAGGAGTGTGGGATTCTAATGCCGTGAGTAAAACCTTTCCATAGAACCGGTTATAAAGGTGCTGTTACAACTGTGCCCCTGCAGCTTGGCTTCCTGCGTGGGGTTTGTACTTGAGGCTGGAGAGAGCCGACTGTGTGCATCCCCTCCTGACTCTGTTCAGCAGTATTGATAGTTTGCAAGGGGCCCTGGTGGCTGCAGTTACACTACAGAAATCGGCAGATGCTACATGAGGGCTCCCCCACCCTCTTGCCCGAGAGCCAGTTTGCCAGCACACACCAGCCTAGAGCCATGGTATACCCACGGGTACTACCTCGCCTATTTAAGGAGTCCGTTCGACACGCCCTGATTTAGCATGTACTAGTCCAAGCCACTGGCTCTAAGGTATCATGTCAATCGCTGGGGATAAGTCAGTGGAAACACGTAGACCCTGCCCTCATGGAGGTAACAATCTAGGGGGGTGGGGAACAGAACTGATGCTAACACAGGCCATTCAATCGTGAGAAACGCCAGCATGTGTTACCAGAGAAGCAAAGCACGGCAGCCCCCACCCCTCTCTCACTGCCCCTCCCTCCAGCCCGGCACTTGCTGTCACTAACAGGTAACTTCTGTAGCACCAGGCGGGCCATTTCCCAGGTTCTCAGAAGGGTTTTCAAGCCTCAGGGGTGGGAAGCAATGCCTTAGCAGAGCAGTCTCTGCAAAGCCCACCTCCTCCCCCACTGCACCTGGCCAGGCCTAGCTCCTGCCACTCTTCTGCTCCCCAGGACATCATGGTTTCCATGGGAACCCACTCACTTCAAAGGGGAACGAAGGAGACTGGAGGGGAGGAGGGAAAGTGGAGGCTGGATTAACCTCACCCTCTTGGCCCCTGTCTCAGCGCTGCTGGCCACCTAACCCCCAAGTTCCAGGCAGCACCTCACACCATCCAGCCCACAGCCAACTGGCACAGAAGGGTGGGGAGGTGTGGTCCAAGCTAAATTTTAACTTCTTGGGGGAAAAACCCCAGGGGTGAGGTGGTCCTGGGAATGGAGAGATCTGAGCTGGGTCCAAACCTGTGGTCCCCACTCCATGGGTCCTCCCCTCCGCAGGCCCCACCTCAGCCTTGCTCCTGGGCCACAAACACAATTACCCGCGATGTGCATCCAATCACGGCATCCGCGCGGATTAGGCTGCAATCATTAATCTGCGCGGGAGCTCCTGGTTGCCTTGCTGATTAGCCCAGATGATGCTCTGGTGTGATCCAATTAAAGCAGACTCTGCCTCCCCTCTCCCCCAACACACACACACACACACAAACACACACACGCACGCATGCGCACACACACACATACTTTCCACATCAGAAGGAACCAATACATTTCATTAACACATATTCATATACAAATAAAACCTCAGGGGCACTGGCAGGCTCCCTCCCTGTCACACTGCCCCCTACTGCCCTGTGGGCCTAGCCAGGGAGGGGCCTCCCCTACCTTCCTTCCTCTGCAGTTCTGGGAGGGGGCCTTGGTGGGGGCTCCCAAAAGTCATCGCCAGGCACTAATCTCCGCTGAAAGGGTCTGGTTACATTTATTGACCTGAAATGCCGACTCCCTGATGTGCTTTGGAGCAGCCAGGCTGCCCCAGGCAGGCAAATCTAATTAGAATTATCCGACCCTACAGGAGGCAGAGCCCCCTCCCCTCTCCCCGAAAGGGCTGTGGAGAGGGCGGCTGGCACTAATGGGAGAGGTGTGGTCATGGGGGACACCCGGGGGCCCCCTGGGGCAGGAAGAGCTGCAGAGGAAAGAACTGGGCAAGGATGCTAATGTCTGTCTGTCGGTTGTCCTGAGATGCCGGGCAGCCATGTTTGGGTGGGCTGTTGGTGGCATCCAGTCTGGGATTTCCTTTTCCAGGTCAGCCGGCTGAGGAGATAATTTGTGCAAATGCCACGGGCTGTAAGGTGACCAGCCCAGTGGGAGAGGGTGAGAAGGTGAGACGTGTTGGCTGAAGGAAGATCTGGGCCTCCATACGTGATACCATGGTGGACAGCTCCCCTGGGGAGGAGGCCCACCTCCTGGCTGGGCGTGGCTGGGGTAGGGGCCTGGGGTCTTGGGAAAGGCTATGGGATCTTGGGAAGTTCCACTGGCTGGAACAAGGGACTCATCTGCTCTGTGCCAGACACAGCACCAGGTGCTCACAGGGGCTGTCTCACAATTCTTACCAAACCACTAATTAGCTTCCATCATGAAACCAATGTTCAGAGAGTTAGCACAAGCAGGAGGTAGGACTCAAGCCGAGGGTTCCAAAAACTTTTTGTTGCACCACTAATTAGGGGGTCTTTCTAGACTAAGATCTGTGTTCACTGTAGGTCCCTGTCCCTTGGGGTCTCAGAAGGTGTCAGGAGTCCATCTCCAGTGTGCACATGAATCACCTGGGATCTTGTCAAACTGCAGATCCGGGATTCACAGGTCCGAGTGGGGCCTGAGATTCTGCATCTCCGACCCGCTCACAGGTGATGCGATCCTGCTAGTCCGCAGACTGGACTTTGAGCAGCAACGATCTAATGGAGTACGATGACTGTACCCCAAAGTCATCAGACCACTGGGCAGTTTTCAGAGGCCACATCACTCTCCTCTTCCTTCTTATGTTCCCCACAGAAGCAAGAGCCCCCACACAGGGGAGGCCACAGGTGCATTGCAGCCTCATCTCCCCACATGCAGCTGCTCTGGCCGCCGGCCATTCTGGGGACACACCAGGCTCTACTCTGCCTGGAAGCTGCCCCCCACCACAATTCTCCTCCTGCTGAACTCCATTATTCAGCCTTTAAGATCAAGCTGGAATATTGCCTCCCCCATGAAGTCTTCTCTGTCAAAGCTCTGACCACTCTATGTTGGTTTCTTGTGTGTGTATCTCTCTGCTCCTGGAGAGGCAGGGAGGAGCCCACACATTACCTTTATAATTCACCCTCCTTCCCTCGAAGCCCAGCACAGCGCATCCACATGTTAATAGCAGGGGCTCAATGACAGTGTGAAGGAAGGAGGGAGAGAGGCCAGGGTGCCCAGTCCGAGCTGGTGGGGGGGAGCTGGCATTCCTCCTGAGGGTCTCTCCCTCAGGGCCTGTGTGCAGATCCCGGCAGCCCGTGGGGCCCGAGGCAGAGCTCTCTACCCGCAGGCAGCTGGGCCTGGCCCGTGCACTGGGCAGCGTGGGGCCCGGGGCCTGGGAGGGACCCCCGTGTCGGGTCTGTGGATGGGGCCCAGCCCTCTGGGCTCCCACCTGTTGGCATTAGAGGCATTCAGACCACCCGAGTAACTAAAAATAACGCCAGTGACAAGGATAATAACAGCAATAATTACCGTCATTACCATAAAGCCCCTGTCACCGGGGAGGAGGCAGGAAGGAGTCAGCCCTCCTGTCCACCTTGTCCACGTGAGACGCGGCGGTGGTGGCTGCAGGGCACGTGCGTGCGAGCTCTCACGCGTGAACGTGAGCCTGGGTTCGGCCTCAATGCCCAGTGTTGACTCAGGCATCTCTCCTCAGTGGTGTGGGCTCCCCAGGGGTAACTGATGACCGAAGCCCCTGCTGGGACCTCCTCACTCTGGTGTGCCCCCTGAGGACTGCATCCTCTCCCCAGCCAGACAGACCAGAATTTCCCTGAGCGCCTCCCGCCCTCTGCAACGTTCAGGGCCCAGCCCTGGGTGCCTGGGGCTGATGCAGAGCTAGAGGAGAAAGCCTCCTGTTCTCGGCAAACCCCCAATCAGGGAGCCGGGACTACACGGCGGCGTGCAACCCCTACTGCTGAAGAAACAAAGACGGCCGTGAAGCAAAGTGTGGACCAAGCGCCAGCTGCACTGGATTCACCTGGAACGCTTTTTAAAAAGTCTAATTCCTCGTCCTATGGCTTGACCTCCTGAGTCAGCGTTTCTGAGCACGGAGGCCGCATATACGCGTTCTAATGAGCCCTCCCAGCGGCTTTCGGGCGCACGGAAGTTCGCTCACCACCGAGCCCTGCATGGCGCGCTCAGAGGTTCAGCGCTCTGGTGGGCGTGCCGGGGGGGGGGAAGCCAGCGAGGGGGCAGGGCAAGGGCAGTCCTGAGGGGGCTGCCCGACCGCTGGGTGGAGGGTTGGGGCGCTCATCTCCCCTCCTGGGATGAGGGGGCCCCCCCGGGAAGCCACAGCCCAGGCCTTGCGTCCCTCACCAGACAACTCCAGGAAGCCCGAGCCAACCCACCGCGGCCAGCTGAGGGCTCTCTGGGGTGATTTCAGGGAGCAAGTGGGGAGAGCAGCTGTTGGCTGTCGTCTTCCTGGGCCCACCCTCTGGCCTGCATTCTGTCTCAGCGCTGAGGGGGCCCTGAGGCTGGGTGGGGGCTTCTGAACATGGCCGAAGTGTCTCCTACCTGTACACAGCTCGCTTGTCAGCCTCCAGCTGGGCCTGGGGGTCAACGGGGGCGCTGGGCACGGGCGTGCTGGCAGCAGCCGAGGGTGCGGAGATGTGGACAGCCTGGGCCTTAGAGGGTGCCTGCGCGGTCGCCGTCATCTGCAGAGAGAGGAGGCGGTGCGTTAGTTGGGCCGGGGCGCCGGTTGCCCAGCTGGAATTGTGAGGTCGGCCTTGTCCTGCGGTGTGAGTGTGGATGAGAGAACGCGTACGAGACAACCGTGAGTGTAGAATGAGTGTCCATTTGCATCTGTGCTACCGTGGGAAGAAAGCAGGTGTTTCTTCAAGTGAGAAAGTTCTGGAGGAAAATTAAAGACCATCCCAAACCAGGCGGCGCACCAGCTCACTTCTGAAGAGACGATTCTTACTGCAGATGGAGGTGGTGACCTCTGCCCAGAAGCAGAAAAAACCAGAATGATGAACGCTTTAAATTGTGCTTATGAGTCACTTGGGCCGCAGTAGGTAGTGTTGAGTTTGATTTGGTGACTTTGGAGAGCAGGAAAAAAAATTGCTAAATCAGTTCTCTGTTGGGTGGAGGTTTATTCCGCTTAATGCAAGCCAGAAGTAACTGTTTTAATGGTTTTGATTGATAACTGGAATGTTCTGCAAATTTGGTTTACCTGGGCACTTGAAGATAAGCAGGTTTTAGTGGACAGTGAACAGATTTCTGTTCTTAACCACAACAAATATTTAGGGTAGTAGCTTTCCTCCCATGTTATGTGGTTTTGATGGTGCCCCTAGGGCCTCAAGTTTGTGCCAATCAGAGCACCGTTTTTAAAAAAATATTGTATTTTGGACTTTCTGTATAAGATTTTATTTAAAGAAATGGTAACATGGCTTTAAAATTTTTGGTAACCATCATTACAGAATTTAATGCTTTTACATTTTATTTTCTTTAGTTAAATGAACACTGACATGTCATACATGGTGACATGTCTCAGCTGTTCCCTTCCTCCAGCCGGTGCATGCACCCGAGAGCTCTTCCCCATCGTGTTGCTGGATTTCATACCCCTGTCTGTCTCCCAAGCGGATGCCTTACTCACACCTTCCTCCCCAGCCCCACAACTGACACAGAGTGGATGCTTAGTATTTGCAGAGAAAATGAATGAGTGAACAAATGAATGAACACACCTTGAAAGAATCAGATATTTTACAGCTGGAAGTTCATTGTATAATCAAGGTCCCTGCTTTCTGGAAGAAAGAGTATTGTATTTCCATAAATACACGCACATTATTGGTGCTGTCAATGGCCCCAAGACACCTGCTGTCTCATTTTCTTCATTGGATCTCTGTTCAGATGTCACATATTCATAGTACAATAGAGTCCCTCTGCCCCTTGCTGTCCCCTTGCTGTCCCCTTACTCTGCCTCATTTCACAGCCCTTATTAGGACCATACATTTCATAGACCTCATCGTGACCGTGTACTGTACAACTACTTGCTAGGTTATTTTCCCTCCCACCTCCAACTCATATTTAAGCTAAGAGGGCTGGTTCATGGTTGTGTTCCTGGGGCCTGGAATAGCCTGACACTGGTATATACTTAACAAATATTTGTTGAATCAATGAATGAATGAGTGATGGATGGTGAATGAGACTGAGACTATAAAAGAATGTATCTACTTTGCTGCAGCGTATCCCCATCATTTTTGGTTAGGAAGAAATACCCTTGTCACTGCTGGCTGAGCTGGGGGAACTTTACAAACTCAGTGACTAAGAGGCTGGACAGAGAATCGTGGGACCTTGAAGCCAACAAGTTACCATGCTTGACTCCTACTGTCTCCTGTTAATAGCTTTTGGACTTTGGGCAAATCCCTCGACTTCCCTAAGCTCCCACTTTCTCGTCAGTAAGCAAACGGGTGTCCTTTTAGGATGCATGCATTTTAAAGAGGAGCTGTAAGGCAGAAAGGAGGAACAAACGCTGTTCTCATTTTCAAAATACAGAAAGAAGGTGGGATCAGGAAAACCAGGCCCTTCTGATCTTCACACTGATCTGGGCCAGTTTCTTTCATTCACTAATGCAACTGATTATTTTTCCACATACTTCTCGAGTCCCGCCACATACTAGGCACTGGGGTGACAATAACCGATGCCTGCTATAATGGCCCTCCCTTTCTGGGTTTAGCATAATTATTCAGCTGGCAGATCAGGAAAATGTGGGGGGATGTGACAGGGATGATGTAAATGACCTCAGCAAGGTACCACCCGTGATATCCTCGTGGAAAACACGGAGGGATGTGGCCCGGGGGACAATTGTGTGGATTAGGAAGCTACACCCAAAGGGTGACGAGTCAAGGATAGATGTCAGCTGGAGTGAGGCTTTTAGGAGTTGCCACGTGCTTTCCTCTCAGCCCTCTTCTTCCGTATTTTTATCAGCGATTTAGAGGAGATCTGAAGAAATGCTCAACAAATTTATGGGTGACTGGAAACTGGGATCCAAGAGATCTTTACAGATTTTGGCAACATATTAAGTCTAATAAGATTAATTTTCACCTGATAGGTTGGAATTTAACACTTCTAACACTTGGGCCAAAAAAAAAAATCCATAATATTAGTGCAGAACAGGAGAGACGTGGTTTAGCAGCAGCGTTTCAGTTGGCGGCAAGCTCAGTGTGTCCAAAGTGCAGTGTGTCAATCAAACAAACAAAAAGCCTAAACTAATGCTATGTGACGACACATCGCCAGAGGCACAGCTCACGCAAAGCTTCCAGTCCCACCTGCTCTGCTGAAACAGGTGCAGGAAAGCACACCCAAGGGAGAGCTGACCAGCCTGGTGAAGGGATTCTGTACTTTGTCGTATGAGGAATATTTGCAAGAATCTGGAATGTTAAGAAAGATTTGGGGGATGGAGGGGGAGTGGAGAGACATGACAGCCCCCTTTGACTACCTGAACAAGGGATTAGATTGTATCAGCTCTGTTCTGTGTGCGCCAAAGGGTCAACCTACATCTGACGCATTAAATCTGTGTAACGCAGAGACAGATTCGGACCTAACCCAGGAGGGTGATTTCATGATCACTACCCACGGCCCAGGGTTGGCGAGGGGCTCAGATTAGATGACGTGTAGTGTGTAAAAGTGCTTTGGAAACTCAGACGTTCTCAGATGGAGGGGAGGTGGTTGTTACTAAACACGAGATTTCCAGAAGGGGCATCGTTCATAAGGTACAGCTACCTGCACAGCTCGTTTAAGGGTAAAATACAGGGTGGGCTGGTGTGCTCTGCTCTGCTCATAAGGGCGTATTTCCTCGTGTCCTTGAAGGAATGCACTAGGGGCTTCTGTAAGGGTGAGCTTCTAGGAGAGAGAGGGCCGAGGGGAGGGGCTCCTTTTCCTCTCACCACCAGCCCCCTTTCTTGGCAGGACTTTGGGGAAAGGTGGAGTGGAGAGCCCCTCTGGGTTCCAGAGGAAGGTGTAAATCAAAAGTGGTCACTTGCTGGCATCCCACGAGGCCCCAGCTGAGAGGCTGTTACTGAGGCTTAGGGAGCAGGGGAGGGGAGAAGAGAGCAGAGCTGGCCTGGGGAGGACGATGATTCAAATTTATTTAGCTCCTGGGGGCCAATTCAGCAAACTCTGCATTTCTTCCAGGTTTGGAGAACGAGCATTTATCTCCAAATAGATTTCTTTTTCTAGCCAGAGACACCCATTTCCCAAGAACTGGAGCTGGAAGGGAGAGGCAGCTGTCCTAAGGGCTTGGGAGGCAGGGGGATGAGGGTGACAGGTGGGGAGGTCTGGGGGGAGGTTCTGGGCAGCACAGCTGAAGGGTAGAAGCTGGGGGAGAGGATGGATGGAGGGCAGAGACCCCTTGTTCTGACCTATGAAAGCAACTGGTCCATTTTCAGGAAATTTGAAAGAAGGGTGATATCATATTGGTAGCTTGAAACTGGTCACGGTGGGAGCAATTACACCACGGAAATTGGTAAATGCTGCAAGCCCTGTCCCCAAACTCCATCCAGAGAGCTGGTTGGTCAATGTCCACCAGCACACCACTAACGTCAGGGTTTCTCTCAGAGTAACTTTCCTTTTCTTCTCAATCTGGCATGTGAAGAAACTACACTCTATGAGGCCACTTGGTGTGTCCACAGCTGGTCCCAGGACCGGCCACTCCAGACTCTGAGCCTTCGTCCCGGGAGAGTGCCAGACTCCCTGCCGGGGCAGCAGATGGGAGAACAGGGTGTAGGGGTGGCATCGCACAGACAGGAGCACTGTCCCTTGTCACAAGGGGAACTGAGGAATGAGGAGGAGGGGCAGAGTTGGACAACGGCTCGAGGGCTTTCTGGGCAATGAGAAGAGCCCCAGATCTTGGACGGAGCAGGGGTTTGAGGCCCGGGGCTCCCCTGTCGATTATTAGCTACGTGTTTTGGGGCAAGTTTTCTGAATTTTTGATCTTTGGTTTCCTTATCTGTCAAATGCAAGGGATAATACCTTCTGGCCAGGTTGGGAGGATTCATCAGGAGAACAGGGCAAGGACGAATGGATGGGGAAGGTGGCAGGGTTCTCTGGGAGGCCTGCCTGCTGGGAGCCTCGGTGCTGTGTCCAGAACACACGGGCTTCTACAGTCCTCTCTCCTCTCTCAGCTCAGGTCCTTCTGGCCTCCGCCCTCCCACAGAAGCCCCAACCACTGGGCCTTTCTCTCTCACCCAGGGGAGCCAGTCCTGCATGAAGCTCGGAGCTAGCAGCCTGCCCAGATTCTCGGTCTGTGACACCCGCCCCCCGATCCTAACATGAAATGGGAGGAGTTGGGGGTTGCCAGCTGCGTGTGGAGGAAGGCAGTCTGGAGGGGCTGCGAGAGCCGGCCACTCCCACAGTCTGGTCTGAACACGAAAATGAGCAGGAGATGCTGGATGGTGTGACTTACGAGGTGCTGGGAAGCATGTGTTACCTGCCCACCTCAGGCGCCCTCACTGACGCTGGATGCCCCACGATGCCGTCCTTTGTGCTGAGTGGCACCCTGTCCCAGTCGTAGGGGAGAGGGGCCCGACATGTTCCAGCGAGCTAAGGAAGTCACTCTCCAGGTTTTCTTGTTCAGCAATGACCCCGAGCCATGGGTTAGTGTCACCCCCACTTTACACACGGGAAAACAGAAGCCACGGCGGTGAAGAAACCGCTG